GCAGAGTATCCGCGAAGCTATAAGTGTCCGCGAGGCTATGCCAGTATTGTGTCCATAATGCTAAGTTATCTTAGCAATGTTCCATACAAGCTCATACCAGTGTCCTCAAAAATGGTCTAGCAAGTTACAAAATCACCTTTGCAAGTTTCTTTGTCCTTTTCTTTTTCATCTGTTTCAGGTTTCTCCGTATGGTCAGCATTCTGTGCGTTCTCATCCTTTTCGTTCTCTCTTTGTTGCTGCGGCGGCTTCACACCCGGTGCCCATTGCATCCACCAGCTATTTGAATGCATTCGTGGGCTTTCACCCTTAAACCTGTTTATAATATCAAGTTTTAAAAACTGGCTCCAGATCCAGATCTAGACTTTCTTTGGACAAAGGTGAACTCTAAATTAGACGTTCTGTGTTCACGGAATGGCGAAAACCCTTCCTGAGACTGGAACACAGAACTATCCATCGAGCCGGACGCTGACAGCTGTCAATATTGAAACAATTGAAAATGACTAAATAAATACAAAGATAGGTACCAAGGATATTTGGAAATGAAAAATACCTGCTCAGAACATGATTTTTGAAGCATTCGTTACAGAATACGTGCCCGTAGAACATCTTTAGCGACGTGGGAATTGTCCGGCAAATACCTGTACAATAATAATTTTAATGGGAATACTGTACGCAATATGAAGGATAAAATTAATCTTGGTACTGAATACTTTTGGAAACTTACAGCACATGCTGCATACTCTATGGAAATTCTGTCCATCGATGTCCACCTTGTCCTCCGGCTCGATCGGGAGGAAGCATCTTGCGCAAAAGCACTTCTTTGGAGATTCTTGATCCTTATCCATGTCCATATTGAATTACCGTCGAATTTTGTTTTATTATCCTTAAAATTATTATTGCAAATTATTAAAAAAATATTATGTAAAAGAATCAGCAAATTCTTTCCATGGCAGATTGGTGTCAGATGGAAAATGTAGAAATTAATAAAAGCAAAACGAAATTTTGAAAAAAAAAGAACAGTGACGGAAGAATGATTTCAAAAATTTGAAATTTGTGTCAGCCAGCTGTTACAAATACACAATTCTTTTATTGAAAAGAGAAGCGTTGCAATGTCGACATTGCAAATTTGTAGCAAATTTATTTTAAAATTTATTTATTCAGCTTTATTATTGAAATCGATAACCGTAGCGTCTCTAGTCCAATTGACAATGGCGACCTCGATTGATGAAAGAATTTGGCGTATCACTAGTTAATTGGCTCTGGATGTCCGTTGTTTGTGTTATCTATCATGTTTTTATCAAAAGATTGTGTTTGTTATGTGATGTAAAGTTTAATCTGAATTTATTTACTGGTAAAGTAACCTTGTTATCTTATCGTGATATCTTTGTTTGCCTAAAGTCGCGTATTCGAGATTATTTTTAGGTTATATTTTCGCACTTGTCGTTGGCGGAATCCACTTCATGTTTTTATAGTTTTCGTATGAAAAGACTGTTGTAAACTATTAAGTAACGTTGTTAGATAAGAATCTGACCCGCATACTTGCCTGTCTAATCATTCTGAGCGTCTATTTTGCCTTGTTAGTTTGTTTATAACATATTTAAAAAAAACGCTCCTCTTATATATGTTGTAGAAAAGTTGGATGAATTTATCAGATGCAGTGATCTCAGAATGTAGTTTGTTTTAGCGAACAACCTCCTACGTGTTTACCTTTGGCGAATAAGGACGATTTTGTGCTTTAGCTATAAAAAACAACAAGTTCATTCGTTATCTACTGAGCTGTCATGTTAAATCAACTTTCTGTTATTATCAATTCCATTGCAGGGAAATTATAAGTTTCTATTTGTATAATTAGACTTTATTCTAATTTAGAAAGACCGCAGATCTCTATAATAATAAGTTCTTACTAAATATATATGTTTGTCACTTTTATAATACCTATAAAAATGACAAACAGGAACCAAGATTCCATTGTTTATGGCTTTATATTATTTTCAACTGCACAGTGACGCAACAATGCCCTAGAGGGTTTTCTAGGCTTCTGTATTTCTAATATAACTAACTACTTCATGTAAACTCTGAGAATACTGGAATCTAATTTCAAGATTACAATTATTAGATACAATTTCAGGAATTTGCTGGAAACTTTTACACTTGTGTCAAAATAACTTCACGCTGACTTAAGCAATAATTATTTTAGCAATTTTATTTGATAGCCTCAGTGGCCCAGTCGTGAGTGCTAAATGAGGAGGATATGAGATTTGGTTCCCAGTAGGACCAATTTGGGAAATGAACTTTTAAATTGGTTCTGTTGGTTAGTGTTTTGTATTGTAGAAAGCGAATGAGCCTTTTCAGAAAAATTTTTCTGTGGTGCATATTTATGTTTTCGTGATATAAATATTTTAACACAAGACATACATATATTAAAACATAGGAAATGAAAATAAATTTTCTACATTTAAGTTGCGTATAGAAAATAAATTTTCTACATTTAAGTTGCGTATATTTGTTTTTCAAACAAACCAATGTTTCTCACCTCATTCAACTGTGAACATGGGTCCTGTAAAGGACCTGAAACATTGGTTTGCTTCATTTCCTATATGTAACTCACGAAAACATAAGAACTTGATATATTTTAAAACAATTGTGAAAATCTAAAACATATGTGTGTGGACTGATTTTTGATTTTTGCCAGTTGCAATAACTGGAAAGTTTAGCACAAGTTATAAAGCATTTTGTAAAACTCATTCTGGAATTTATAAAGAATATATTAAAAACTATACTACCTAAGCAGTCTCTCAATTCTCACACCAAAGCTTCCACTTCTGGGCAAGTATTTAATTTGCTGGAATAGTTTGTTAACAAAAATTTAGTCTTTAAACATTTACACAATGAACAAAATGTAATTTGGCAATGATTATATATAATTACACTGTACTTTATATGATCCCTGAGAGACCACATGTAAAAAACGTATAAGTAAATAAATATAAAATATGTATATTATTTACCTGAACAAACATTAGTAAAAATCACAAGGAAGATTGTAAAAGTAAAACAAAACCACGATTATGAGCCAATTTCGTAATTTTCATATTCATTTGTGGTCCCTCAGTTCAAACACTATAGAAATGTGAATTAATTAATATATCCTAAAATATAAGGAATATGGAAAGATTCGTCATATAGAGGTTTAGTAAAAAAGATTCATTATATGCATGCTTATTTTTAAATGGATTGGTGACTTAACAAGACAATTGCTTTTCAATATTTCCTTAGCTGTATTTGTAGTTGAGTGTCCACACAGTAACAAGTCCCTATTGACTTTATCTGTTGCCTATTAAGAAATTTCAATTATTTTCAATTATTAAGAAATGAAATTACGAAATTTCAATTATTGCCGCATCCTGATACCCTTGCAACTCCGAAATACACAACTATCTGGAAATACCAACAGTTCTCGAAGAAGATTAACACTATTCAGTTCACTAAAGACATAGACTAGGAGCTTATTCTGTCTCATTGCCAACCATACTGTTAAACCCAATTAGGAGGCTGAAAAGACCTGATGTGCTGTACAATTAAGGGGAGACAAGGCACTTCTTACTTTTCTGCAACACTCTATATCTTCTAACTCATCTGAATCTAGTCTGGTCGATTGATTGCAGATTTCAAGGACAAGAAAAAAATCTAAACCGTTCACATTCAAACAATATAATTATAGTGTGGCAAATGATTATTTTTGCAGTACTGATTATAAGTATGCATCTTAAAATAAATGTTTTTTCAAAAAAGTCCTTAAATATTGTTCTTAACTCTGGACTGCCTTTCCAGACAGCTTATTTCGAGAATGAAATGTTTTCTATCAATATTTTTTTCAGGAAAGTTAAAAAGTACATTGCTTGTTTACTTTTCTTGATAATTAAACACGGTGTACCTAAACTCATTATATTAGCCTTATTCAATAAATGTATTTTGGTTTTGGAATATAAAGCAAGTAGCTTGATCGCGTTTTGAGGCCATATTGATCCACATAATAAATAAACAATCCATGTATAAATATATCATTAACTACACAGAACTCCTTAATAATAAAATGATGGCGTAAGTTTCATTCATTTAGAAGGTGGCGCTCCGCCCTTGTTACGTGGATTATAAATGTGCATTTGAATTTCGGACACTTTGCCACTTGCAGTTTGTAAAAACTTATTTTAATGTAAAAAATGTCTGAGACGAGCGACTTCACCCTCAACATGGAGCATTGGCCAGTGAGACCTGCTGAAGATGATTCTGTCGATTAGTTTCGATCCAGCGAATGTAATGAAAGATTAAAAATACGTTTAATTTTCTATCAATGTACCTTTTAAATAAGACTGATTCACAATTTATTTGCTTAAAAAGCAAGGATAAAACGAACGCTTAATTTACCGGTTTTGCAACAAGGGCGGATAATACAATGGAAGAAAAAAAATATTTCAAATGTTTCTAAATTTTAAAATAATAATAATACCTGAGTCTTTTAACTAAATCTAGGACAAAATATAAATAATAAAATACGTACATAAGAGTCATACTATAAATATTAAAAAGATATAAGTTTGTATTAATAATTATAACAAACTAGTCGAGTAATTTCTCATGAAAATAATAGAATATCAATTCTATAAAAATTTAAAATGCAATCAATAGCGACTTCTTTAGCCAGGGCTGATAGCTGTAAAGGTATCTAACAGGGTGCCGAAATATCAGATTTGTCATAGATGGCGCTACGGCTAAAAACTCGTTCAAAAACCAAATACAAAGATACGACGTAAGCACTTAGAAAAATTCGTGAGGTCCGCTGGTCCGTGCCGTGGCTTAGTTGGTATAGCGTCTGGCACGGTATGCTAGAAGACGTCGGTTCGAATCGAAGGAATTTTTTCTGAGTGTCGATCTTTGTGTTAATAATTATAAGATTTAAGACGTGATACGCCCTTGTCTCATCCAATGCTTCAATTTAAGATTGTTTTAATGAGCTCAATGATGACGGTTGCATCAATGTAATAGCACCGAGAATATAAAACTTATTAAGACTGATAACTTTGTATCAAGTGACTTATTTGGTGAGTGTGATGTCATCATTGGTGCAATAATTGGACGTAGTTAAGCAAAAAGGTCCAATCCACAAAATTATCAAAACATGAGTCATATGTATTAAACGGTTCCTAAAGTGTAGTCTCTTAGATCAGCAAAAAAATCCAACATATAAACATAAATAAATATCTCTGGAGTTACATGACATTATAAGTTTTGAAAATAAAACAACAGTGAGAAACACTTTTCAACGTCAAACTGCCATATCTCGAAAGTGACTGGATGTGCATTGGATCCTTTCTGTGTAACTACGTCCAATTATATTTTTTTTATTAATAACAATAACACCCACATTCAAGGCGCTCTGTCGCGGATGCCACACTCACATAAATAACCACAAATTGCACCAGAGACAAATATATGTTGGCCTTATATATTTTTTATAGTATCAAGTGACGAGACGAATGAGCTGTGCCCCTGATAGTAAGCTAAGCTACTTGCATGTCCATAACACCTGCAGTGCCACTCTGAGCTTTGAATTTGAATCTGAGGGGCACTGTCGCGGCACCCTTTACCCTGAGACATGAGTTGACAAGTCCCATGTGCCTGCAATTTCACCGCCAACCTTTCACTTCAAAACCGGAACGACCACGACACAGTTTTCCGTTTATCGTTGAACGACTGTCGTGACTAGCTGTTCCCACTAGTTCGTGACGACAATTTATCGGTTCACAGCAGCCGCCTTGTCGTTTGCACGACAGAATCGTTTGAAGCCGTAGTTATCTATCGTGACGTTTTGTTTATCGTCAGACGACTGTCGTTCTAGCTCTTCACATAGTCACGACAGTCTGTCATCGTAAAGTAAAAAATTCGTGAACGACAGTTAATCGTGTTGT